ATTTTATTTTATTAATATACCTCAAATATTATTATACTACAAATAATCTACCTTTTATGTATCTTATAGAACTTCTATAAAACTTTATACTTATCCAGAACTCATCTAGATTTGTATAAAGCTTTCAAATCTAGGTGAGTCTTGGCCACTCTAGTAGGTTTAGGCTGCAGATAAATAATTAGTCTGAGCTTTTATTCTTGCATGTAGTTTATATTTATTTATATATGAATTGAGTCTTCATTTGTTTCTTTCTATATGATTACTTATATAAATCACTCAATAAAGATATGAGCAAGGCCTCACCTTAAATATAAAAAAAAACAAATTTATTATTCTTTTTTCACATTAAAAGCTAAAAAAAAGAAAAATAACAAATTTCAAAACTATAAAAGCATACTAATGTGAACACAGTATTAATCAAACGTTCTTAAAACATTAAATTGATAATATGCAATAAAGATTACATGTACCGAACGCACCAAAATTTACAGATACAGATCTATCGGGATCACAATGGTACACAAAATATTTTACTCAAGCATTGCATTAAGTATTTTTTACCAAAGAGGACCTACAACCTTAGCAGATTAAGCTCATTCTTTTTATCAAATAGGTAATAATATTTTTGTAGAAGATATACTGTACTTGATCCATGCAGCAAGAAATTAATACGTATGTACAATACGAAAAAGTGATCTATCTACTATTAAACAACTTTATAAAAATTTGAAATATTTTTAATAATCCCTCCCAAATCCCAAATCCCATGTTCCAAATCCCATATTCCAAATAACAATCCAAATATAATAAAATTTGGATTTGGAACGGGTAGTTTTTGCGGCAAGTATAATCTCATGTCACTATTTAAATGACTTTGAGTGACTAAATACCATATCCCCCTGTTTAAATCGTTAATTGTTAACTATATATATAAGTTTTTACTACGTAGAAAGATTTTCAAATAGTTACGAACAGTACGTGCGTACATATATGTTTATCATACATACATTTAAATGAAACGCAAAACAAACAAGCTGAATAACTGTGTGGTAACTTTATAAAAATTGGAACGGAGAATCCGGTATCATGCAGCTAATTAATCTATTTATCCCGAGATTTCATAGATGAGAATAAAATTCGTAAAAGCTTATTATCAATTTCAAATTTAGATATTTTTATCAATTGTAATAGGAAACATTAAAAGTAAAAGTGATACGAAAAGTACAAGAACGAAGTAATACAATAAATACAAGAGAAGGTAAATGAAATGCTTTTTGCTTTTTTGTTATTCATAATAAATACGTAATAAAATCAGAGTTTATTATTTATGTATCAAATATTGTAATTCAAGAGCGACAAAACATTAATTAATTTAGTTTATCATTAGAATGTTGATATGATATCAGTAAATTTCTATTTGTTTCCCCCGCACATTATCTAAATGAAAATGCCTATCTTAATTAATATTTACAAATATGATGTTCGTTTGCAATACAAAATCAAATTGTACGATAGTCTTTAAAAAAACCAACTAATTGTTTTTTTGATATCTAAGCAAAAAATAAATACAAACCAATAAAGATTCAGAGGGATCATCTATATGAAAATTGTGTTTTCTTGGTTTTCTGAAAAAAAATTTTTTTTAAAGTTGCGCAGTGTTTTTACTATTTTTAAAAATGTTACAAATGTTACAAATGTTACACGTGAGTACATAACAGTGATAATAGCTGTGATAGTAACATGTGGTACATTACAGTAGTTACTCAAGTTTCAAAAGTATCGTTATAAGAAAAACTATGATCATATATTGCATGTATGTACAATATATTATATACCGATACGTTTAAATCCCAAGGCTAACGATAATCAAAGCCGGTTTATCATAGTCGTAATAACAATTTGAGTTACCCAAAATTGCGCCCCGTGACAACTTTTCATTAAAAGAAAATGTAGATCATATATTTTTTTTAAAAAACCAAAACAAAAAAAGCATTGTAAGAAAAGATGCAGATTTTAACTCGAAATAATATTCTTGTAAACCATATTGTAAAAAATTAGAAACATTCATTCATTACGTTAAACACAGTTAAAAATGCACCAATCGGATTGACTAAATAATTTTAAAGTATATGCATCTTTTTAAAATCTCAAGGGGAATATATGCATAATTTTGATATATAAAAAAACTCAAGGAGAAAAGATCTTTGAATACAATAACCATTTTTGAACAATGATCGTCTCGGGGAGAGATCAAACGATCCTAAATTTGTATAAATCGATCACTAGTAACAGAGTTAATTTTGAGATACCAAGCTGATACTGTGCTGTGTACAAAAAAAATTTTTCTCATCTCCTGCTTTTTCTCTCTCTTTTGATTAGCATTCATTTAAACATTATCGAAAAGTCGCGTTTTTTCTAACAATGCCTACTATGTAAAAGTATAATAACAATGCAGTAAGAATTTTCTTTGATGCATTTAAAATGTTTTTTTTTAGAAAAAGAAAGCTATTTATAAATTTAGACAACAAGCTTTAAAATTATAATTGGCAATTTCATAATGCATCTTTATAAACTTGTAAACACGTGTGACCAATTAATAGTTAAGTACATACATACGTACATACTTTAACTATACATGAATTTTAAATCCGGTACAAAAAGATCGAGATGAAAATCAGTCAACCATGATTCGTTAAAAAAGTAAAAGACGCGCGTAGTTTACATTCATTCATTAAATCCTTAATATGACCTATTATCTTTTTTTATTGTGTTCCAATCTTTAATAAATTTGTGGCAGTGAAAAGTATGCGGCAGTGATTTAACTTAATTGAGCAATGGAAGTTTCTTAACAGAAGAGTTTAAAAAAGAAATGTTCTGCACGGTCGATACAAAAATATATACATATACATGTAAAGAAATATAATCTCTATAATAATCTCTTATACGTATATTCGTGATTTGATTATACGTATAGTATAGTGATTATGGTGGTTATGGTGATTATGATGATTATGTGCGTTAGACAATTTTATTATTTTGATTGGCCTAATTATCAAAAAAACAATTAATTAATTATTTTAATGTTAATACCTGGTTATTATCTGTAACATCTGCAATAACCTGCAACATCTATAACATTATGTCATATATCATTTTTTAACCCCCATGTTTTTTCTTACATAAATATTATGATACTGTATTTGATATTTGATACTATATTTGATATTATATTTGATGATACTGTATTTGATTTTGTATTTGATTTTGTATTAGAACCCCTTACTAAAAAAAATCCTTTTTTTTTTTTTTTTGATGAATAAAAGACTCCTTAACACAATCAAAACACACAATCAAAGTAACAAGTGCATTTAGTTATACAAAATCAGGTTTCAAGGGTTTAAAAAACTTTTCGAAATTTTAAAATATTTAAAGTGCTTGAAAATTTAATTAATGCATGATAAATTTAAACTTTAAAGATAACACCGAACAGTACATAGTATTAATTACAAATGGTTTTATTAAATTCTTGATGATAGTTAAAAAAAGATCTTTTTTTATTAGTAATGATAAGTTTTGTATGATTTCCTATTTTAAGATAAAGAAAATGAAATAAAGAAAATGATAAAAGAAAGTACGAAAGTACCGGAGATGTAAAAATAACGACCCGGGTCAAACCCGAGTAAACCGAGTTAAACATTTTTTTCAACCAAGTTATGACTCGGGTCAATAGTAATCAATTTATAATTTTTAATATTTAGGATTGATTTGAGTTCTTTCATTTTTTCTTTAACTAACCCGTTTAACCCGGGTAAAAGGCAATTTTTAACTCGTGACCCCATCAAGGCGTTGTTGACCCGTACAGGTCAACCCGACCCGGGTAACAAACCGCTTTTTTAGAAAACCCTAAATTCCATTATCGACAAATATAGAAATTATACGTGTTATTCAACGAGTTTAATGATTTTTATAAATGATTTCTTTAACTTTGTAATTACTGATTGATTGATTGATTGATTGATTTCTAAGATTCTTAAGTGGTTTAAGTGATTTGAAAGTGATTTGAAAAGTGATTCGAAAGTGATTCAAAAAGTGATTCGAAAGTAAGTTGGAAAATGATTTGAAAATGATTTGAAAATGATTTGAAAATGATTTGAAAGTGATTTAAACGTGTTGATTTCTTATGATCATGCGCATATACATATACAACATAAGGAGGTTTATTCTCGAACTACTAATCTCCTACTAATCTCACTACTAATCTCCTACTAATCTCACTACTAATCTCCTACTAATCTCCTACTCTAATCTCACTACTAATCTCACCAAAATATGTACGTAAGTAAGGGGGGAGGTTGAATAACTTTATGTACACCAACGGGAAAACTATCAATTAACAGGTAAATCAAATGCGCCTTAATGTATAACGTGTATGCATCAAAATTATTGAGTTAAAAAAAAGTGTACCGATACGCATCAATCATCATCAAATCAGATGAATTGAATCAGATGAACTACATGAATTTTTTTTAAATAAACGATAAAGATAGGCCAGCCAGTAATTATCACAGCATACTTTTTAGATTGTGTTTTTCTATTTTCATTATATGATAACGTGAACATGATAATGTTTCATGTATAGACACTCTCATGATTCTTGCATAACATAATGGAGTACGATACTCTCATGACTTTTGATACTATATATGCAATAGATATATTATAGAGTACGATACATTCTCATGACCCTTGGCAAATGGCATTCTTGAGTTTAAAATGAGTGTTAAAAGTTTTCACAAATTTTCAAAAATGTATTAGTTAAAATTTATTAGGATTTTGTATTACAAAGTACGATATTTAATGTTTTTTTTTTTTTTTCTCTGTATACTCTTTTGTTATCAATGAGTCGACCGTACATAAGTACGTGCGTACGTATGTATAACGTGACCATCCTTTATCAAACCTTAATTTGAAGAACGTGTTAAAGCTGAAAAGTTAAATTATTAAATTATATCACTACCTCTATGACCTTTATGGCCTTTATGACCTTCCTTTATGGCCTCTATGACCTTTATGGCCTTTATGACCTTTATGGCCTTTATGATCTTTATGGCCTCTAAAACCTTTATGGCCTCTATGACTTCTATGATAATGACTTTAACAGCTCAGCGATTACTCAGTGATTTTTCGGCTAAATGACGTACTTACCCTAGATAGAAAAAAAAAAAAGGAAAAAAAAAAAAAAAAGCCGAATTAATCTATCAATGATATTATTAATCCAATTTTGACTGCTTATTTTCAAACCTATCACTACAGTATGGATTTTCTTTTTTAAAAAAAAGAAATCATCATCATCATTGAGATTTACCTTTTTTTTACGTCATATATCCAAGAAAAATTTTGTGAATTGATTACATACAAAGCTTTTTTAAACTCCTTAATATTTTCATGCAATGTTATCTTTCATGTCAAAATAACAACTTAAGGAGAAAAATAAATCATCACGTTTGAAGATCCAAAGATGATCGAAACTAGTATAATGGATCAACAATTTAGTATAAGCTTAAAACTAAGTTTTTTTTTTTTTAAATATGTAGAATGACATAAGATCTACTATTGGTAAATAGGATAACCAGGAAAAAAGGTGTATTATGTAACAAGAAGGATTTTTAATGATTTTTTTAATGATTGATGATGATGACTGATGATGACTGATCCGATGATAAAAAGTTAAAAAGACTTTTGGAAATGAGGATGCTTACGTACGTACATACGTCATTTTTATGGTGATTATAAAAAATCCAATTAAAATCTAAATTAAAATAAAAAGATAATTAGGTATTTCTTATTTAAAAAAGAAAAAAATATATAACGTGATATCTTTAGGAAAATGATTTTCTATTTTTAGATAAAAATTAACCGTTCTCGATCAATGTACATACGTACGAATAGTGTCACTAATAGTGACGTGTAACCACCGAATATCGATAAAATTTTAATATAACAACCTTCTTTAAGCTATTAATTTAAAGTTATATATTCAGAATTGCAGAATTGATATATATATATTTATATATTGTATATACACTTTTTACGTATATAATTTTTAAAATATATAAATTATATATATGAATATTACGGATATCCTACATTTAAAATGTACAATACGTGGGAGTATCGTTTCACTGATAATCATTGTACCGAAAATCATAATGTTGGAATCAGTGAAAAATGAATCCAAATTCACTACACCGCATGTCAGGGTACAAGAAAAAACTCTCCCCTAACATAAATATAAAATAAAAAATATAACAAAATATTAACATAAATGCATACATACATTATGTATGCCCTTCTCTAAATCTGTAAATGCACGCTTTTTTTAACTCAGTTTTTTTAAAAAGATTTTACAAGTTTCTAAAGAGAATACTCATTATAAATCTGTGAATGCAGACCCTTGCTTGATTGGTCATATGGTCTTAAGGGAGAGACTTTAGAGGTTTCTTCGTAACCAAAAGCTACAAATACTTTTGAAAAAATTGGTATATTGATATTTTTTGCTTGTAATACAAAAATCTCTAATAGTAAAAATAACCAATAATCAATTTCTAGAAATCAGGTTCTTGGGTGCACTAATTAAAAAAAAAAAAAATTGATGATTATGAATGATTTGTTTCTATATATCAGTATATATATTGTATAACATTCTGTAATTACAGTCGTACCTGGTATATATATTTTATAATTTACCCCGGTTTATATCATTTTCTTTTTTTCAATTTATTCATAGTTATTATATAGAAAAAAAAAAGGGGATCTAACCTAAGTACATACATACGTACTGTACGTACGTACGTGCGTGAAGTACTTTTTTTTAAAAGTTTACAAATTGGGAAAATCCAGATCCATGGCGCATTACCGTTCAACAGTAAAATGCAAACACAGACTCGATAACCAATGTAAGTATACTGTAATGACTCCCAAGTTTATTAGCATTAGAAATAAATGGTGGATTTGTTTGCAGTTTTGATATCTATAGTTTTTGATATCTATGGCGAATTAGAGAGTGTGTTTATTTTAAAAAGATAATTAAAAATCATATGTTGTTTTATAAAATGATGTGGTTATAGGTCATACTTATACGTGCATACAGTACAAAGTTTAACGAATCGTACTAGGTATTATTATTTGAGCATGAATTTGAGCATGAATTTGATCATGAAATTGAGCATGAAATTGAGCACGAAATTGAGCACAACTTTAACAAATGTTAAAAAATTATGTACCACTACGCGTAATCATGTGATCACAGACGTAACCATTGAGATGTCATTTTTTTGACATATGTACTAACTATCTTTTCGTACTCTTTAATTGTTATTAAAAAAAATTTTCGTTTCCGTTTCGTTTTCATTTTTATATATTTATTACACCTTATCACTTGGTAAACAAAAGATTTAAATATTTTAAAAAATATTTTTTTTTTAATCTTTATTGAAATCGATTTTTCAATTTTTTTTTTTTTTTAATAAAAAAAAAATTGCATTTTCATTTCTTTTTACAAACAAATTTTTTTCAAAAAAAAGACAGATAACAAATGTTAAAAGAAAAAAATAAAATAAAAAAAAACTCAGAAATAATTTTAATAAGTAAAAAAAGAAAAAAGAAAAAAAAATTTGACAAAATAAAATGAAAAAAAAAACGTCGAAAAGTAAGAAAGAAGAGAAGATAACCGATTTTTTTTTAAAAAAATTTTCATAGTTGTATAATAGAGTAGTAATATAATAGTAGTAGTAGTAATGAATTGAATAGTAGCAAATTTTTTTTTTTTCGTCTAGATCGTAGATTGATAAATTCATAATAGCTTAATAATATATATCTAATTTTTTTTTTTCTATTAAGAGAAAAAAATATTTTTTTTTTTGAAAATTTTTTGAGAAAAGTCAATGATAAAGTGCATATAAAAGATGGCATAATGGATTTTTTTCGACATATAAATAAAAAGCTTAAAAAGTTTTTTGAACCATAATTTTTTTTTTTTTGAAAGGATGAAAAGGTAAATTCGGCTATCTTCTTATCTTCTGACAGCCCAGCTGTTACTATAGAGAAACTAAAAGAATTATTTTTGTGTTGGGTTATTATATTATTAAGTAAGAATATGTAATAATAAGATATAGTAAGGTATATATATAGATAGTAGTAAGTAATAGTATTTAATAATTTTGGTTGAAAATTGTGTCAAAAGAGAAAAAAAGTTGATAGTGTGTTTGAATTGCTGGCAAATGATGATGATTTTTTATGATAAACTCCTGTTGATAGTTTGCTGATAGTTTTGCTGATAGTTTTGTTGATAGTTAACGACTAAGAGCTTCAGGATTCAAAGCATAAGTTAAATTAACCCCACGCCTTCTTTGGATGAGATCATCGAAGGCAGCCATCTTTTCTTGGTATTCTTTTCTTTTTGCTGCTAACAGCTTTTGCCTTCCATTCTCATGAACGTTTGAAAAGGAATATCTCCTATGAACTGAACTCGGTCTCTCATAACTGAAAGGCTCGTTTGAGCTTTTTGTAGGAGTAGTGGCAGAACGCGAAGAGTTATGATTTGAAAGATCCAAAGCGACAAAAGAAGGAGCAAATTCATTTTCGTGGGGCGCAACTGTTGAGGAGTTCTTCTTATTTGAATGAGGATGGAAAATTTTATTTAAAAATTTTTTGGTGGATTTTTGCTTGATTTGTTCCATTTTTTTTTCTTGAGTTTTCTTGTGTTGTGTTGAGTGGAATATAATATTTGTCGTTTCGTTTTCGTTTACGTAAGATGCGCAAAAAAAAAAAAAAAAAAAAAATGACAAGAAGTTGGAGTTATTGATTATTAAATCGTCGCTTTGACTAGTTTGAAATTATATCGAACTATCAATTAGTGATAGTGATGAAAAATCTGAAATAATCGTTTTAGTCGTAAGTGAAGGACTTGATTTATTTTTTGTTTAAAAGTTCGTTACAAAAAGAAAAGATTGATAAAAGACGGTAAAGTCTTAAATGCTAGTAGCTAAGTAGCTAAATCTGAGGAAAAGATTCGGAGAATAAGATGGATGAGGAGAATGAGGGAGGAAATGATGTGATTTAAATATTTTTTTTTCAGAAGTTTGAATATTTAAAAGTTTTAGCTACGGGATAGGAAAGCTCTCCTTTTGGGAGCATTTATATCGTTTTCGCAAATAAAAAATTGTGGAACATATATATTGTAATATATTGTGTATAATATATTTTATATAATAATTATAATATCTATGTAATGTATAAATATGTGTATATATTTTATTTATTTATAGGTTATATAAACTACGTATTATATATATATATATATATATAATATATATATATTATAATAGTAATAATAGTAAGAATAATAATTAAAAGTATAATTTATATATATGTATATATTATACATTAAACAATATAAATAAAAAAAATTTTTTTTTTTTTATATTATAATACTGTAAATGTAGTAAATGGGCAGTGTATACGTAGTGTACTGTACATATATTTAATAGTACATAATAGGCGTTTGAGAAACTTAAGCCTCATCCCTTTTTACATCGGGAATTTTGACAAATAAGATGAAATAACATAAAACGAACAAAAAATGAATATAAAACATATGACTCAAGAAAAAAAAAAAAAAAAAAAAGACAATATACAATAGAAAATAATATTGTAAGTTTGACTTTCGGTTATTAAATGTTTATTCGTTTTTATTAGTTGAATAATAGTCTATTATTATTCTATCAGTTATATAACGTTTAGAACATTAACGAGATTAAACATTTGATCTTCGATTAACATTCGATCTAATCCTAATCATTAAACGCACGTGCGAAACAACGCATATACTTTCTTTTATATCAAGAATACGTACCAGGGTAAATATTAGTAATCGTTAAAAAAAAACTAACACTATTATAATAATAATAATAATAATTATTATTATTATTATCGTTGATTTTATTATTTTAATTATATATTATAATTACTTGTATAATTATTGTAATTATTATGAAAATTTTTTTTCAAACTGTTTTTTAAAAAAAACAGCTTGAAAAAAACGATTTCTATCGCCAAAAATGGTTTTGATACAAAGAATTATTTAGTCTGGTTTTCATACAAGCGTATAATGTTTATACTATTTTGCTCAAATTCTGCTTTTTTTTTTTTTTTTCCTATCAGAAAAGGACAGTCTCTAAAAAGTGTATTGCCTTTTTTTTTCGTCAATGGAATTGTGTACGAATAGAAAAATTTTTTTTTTTATTTCAATCAATATAAATAAAAAAATTACGCCAACTAAATAACAATAATAATAATAAAAAAAAAAATTCTTTTACCAGGGTTTTTTATTGGTTATATAACTAAACAATAGATTCCTCTTTTTTTTTTTTTGTTACATTTAAATGAATAAGTCAATACAATGCGAAATTCTTTTATGGTTAAGAAAAACTTGGAAATCGGATGGATTTCGTTGGTTTCTGAATATTGTATTAACTATTTGTGGTTTATACAAATATCCGACTATTTGGGAGTGTTTTGGGTGTGTCACATTCGTCACGTCATTATTATTAACTATTAATACTTTTTGCCATCGTTTATTATATCTTTATGTCAATGGTTAAAAAAGCACTCTCTATTAATGTTTTTTTTTTATAATCGGCATACTTTTTAGAAGTCAGGGAAGTCAGGTACGTACGTACGTACGTATCGTAATCTCATGAATATCAGATATTTAGTATAGTACGTTTTACAATGATATCATACACAGGTCATATACAGGGTATATAAAAGGGGAACAGCTTTTTCTGCATAATTATTATATAACTATTTAATTTTATAAAATGCAGGATTTTTTTCTATATTTGTAGGAACCCTTTATATTAAATATCCGATCCAAAAAAATATATATAAATTAAAGGATAGTCGTTACACATACCGATACAGTCGTGAAGTAGGTGTCTTTTTATACAAGGTTCTTAACTATATAAAAATATATAAATATTTGTATTTACTATATTTTTTAACTGTATTTTAAACTGTATTTTTAACTGTAATTTTTACTATAATTTTTACTGTATTTTTTTCTTACGTATCAATTATCAATTATCAATTATCAATAAACCGATAGTATTTATTAAGCGGGGTACAGGATGCCACCTTCCTAGTTTATATATTGGAATCTCGTGTCAAATAAAACAACCCATGATTAGTTAGATTTTTTACCCCACACGAAATTTTAAGCTAAAGAAACATTAAAATCGAATTATATTATTAAATTTATTAAATTGAATTTTTTGTTATTAAATCGAATTATTTAATTATATTATTAAGGTGAACTATGTTATTGGTTTAGAGACTTAATTTATGCAACGCCATATTGATAATATATGAGGACTTGGATTGTTAATGCGTTCTTCATTGAAGTTGACTGTTGAATAAATTAATTATACTGTCAATAATGATGTAAAAGTATATGAAAAATAGTATTACAATAATAGATAAATAAATAAAAAACATATATAGGCAAATTTCAGAATTTGTTAATGTTAATATACAATATGGTTGTATGTAAAAAGGTAAGTAGGCCAAAGTTTACAAACAATAAATGGAACGTGCAATTGATTCTTATATATATTTACAATTAGTTAAATCAATGAATGTGCCACCCATGTACATACTTACATACTTACATACTTACGTACGTACGTACGTACGTGAATACACAAGAACACAAGAATCAGTGATTGGAGCTGGTTCGATTTTCCTTCGGATATTGGTAATGTCAATCATATAACTTTATTATACTTAATTTACTTTTCAAAAATAATCTTTGAACCATTTATTCATGAGCTTTATTTCACGAGTTTCTACAATATTAATTCATTTTTTTTATTTTTCTTTAAAGATGCAAATTATTGTTCAACGCATGGCACAATACGCATGCAAGGATACATATTTAAAGTATTTAAAGTATTAATCAATATTTAATATCTTCTATAGTAATCAACAAGAAAATTAATGATTTAATGCGGTTATGCTTAACAATCATCCGAATATCTGAGCGCTTACTAAAAAAAAACAATCCAGTATATGTTAGATTATATGCTAAGTTATAAACATTAAAAAAAACACATGTTTATTTCATTCAAATCAACAAATAAAAAAAATTATTATTAGTAATTACAAAGGCAAAAAAAAAAATTTCATACGTATTCGCAAATAAAAATTAACCTATGAGCCCATGTGTTAAACACGGAATTGTTTCTTCGGCTTTTACTATAATTTTTCATA